GGGCCTGTCACTTGCACTAGTCTGAAAACCATGGGTGATGCCTATGACAGGCGGGTCAGGATCAGATTGAGCAATAGTCTTAGTGGCCTGTTTGGACCTCTGATGTCTTCGAATAAAATATTGGTTTTTGTTTTTTTTTTAATTTTAATTTCAAAAAATTTGTATATCAAATAATTTTATTTTTTAGGTCGTCATGATACAATTACAGTTCCAAATATAAAATTAACATCATCAGCTCGATATTGTTCTGTATTTCCATCAATAAATATAAAAGGTAGTATACGTCATTTACAATTACGTCCACGTGAATTAGATGATTATCGTCAACGATGTGAATCTGTATTACGTCGTTATTTTAAACGTATGCAATGGTTATTAAATGGTAGTCGTTTAATATTTTCAACTATAATACATAAACATATACTTATACTTATTGATACAAGTGGTTCAATGGAAACTAATATAGATTATTTAAAAAAAGAATTAGCTACACTTGTATGGGAACAATTATATTCATATCAAATACAATTTAATTTTATACAATTTAATGATAATTATCAAATATGGCGTGATAATCTTGTTTTACCAACAGAAGATAATTGTCATGAAGCTATTGCATGGATAAGTACATTAAAAGCAAATGGTAATACATGTAGTGAACGTGTATTAAAATTTGCATTTGATTTTCATTATACAAAACAATCCATTGATAGTATTTATTATATAAGTGATGGTAAACCTGATCATAGTACAAGTTATTTATTAGAACAAGTACGTTTAATGAATACAATACATACAAATACAATAAATAGAAAATCTATATCAATAAATACAATATCATTTTGTTGTCATGATATTGATGCAAATAATTTTTTAAAAAATTTAGCACATGATAATAATGGACGTTATCATTGTTCAACAAATAATACACGTGATATACATTTATTTATGCATCGTTTACAACAAGATAAAACATATGATTTAGAATTTGATGAAAATTCATTATTAGAACTTGAAAGTGATGATATAAAACGTTTATTAAAAGAAATTATTAAAGCAAGACTTTATTTAAAACAAGCTATTACATTTCGTTCACTTTATAATCAACAACAAGATTCAACTAATAAAGGACAACAACAACAACAACAACAACAACAGCAGCAACAACAAGATGATAGTATTCTTGTTGGACCAGCTCGTGTACCAATGTCTGAACAATGGTTTAATAGAAAATCAACAAGTTTATATACATAAACTAAATATATTAAATATTCATTTGTATAGTCAGATGATAACTTCTCTTTTTTTTGTCCATGTTTTATATGCGCGAATTGAAGGGGGATTTTTGCTTGATTTGGCTTTTTGTTTTTTGAATATGCTTTTCAGAGTGATTTATTATTCAAAAAAAAAACAAAAAACAATATTTATTATTTAAATCTATGAATATATGGATGAAAATATCTTATAAGAAGATCTATCAAGATTAAAATGACAAGTTCTATTCACGAACGAGAGTTTTTAAATTTCAAATTGCTGTTCAATCTGAACTATGTACATCCTATAAGTTCTAATAAGCTATAAATGCCGTTGACTCCTTCCAAAAAAACTAATGAGGAAACATTTACAACTGTCACATTGCTTTTGAGTCAAGTGTATGCGCATCATGTAGGCTCTAATGATCTATGAATACTCTGGAAAAAGTTCATGCTGCTAGCTTATTACTACCGAGATACTGTATGTTAAAGAAAAAAAGCCGTGGTTCCCCTCAGGAACACTAGAAAAACTGAGTTTCGAATTTCAACTTGAAACTTTGCATTGAGATAGGTCTCAATGAGAATAATTTATTGTGAACGTTTCAGATCTTTTGATTGCTCCTAATCTGAAATAAGAATATGGAAATCTGCTGATGTATATCAGCGATTTTATCATAGCTGTATCTTGGGTTAAGAACAACGAAACGATTTGAAACTTTCACAATAAACTATTCTCATGGTGACCTATCTCTATGCAAAGTTTTAAGTCGAAGTTCGAAACTCAGTTTTCCTAGTGTTCCTGAGGGGGACCACGGCTTTTTTTCTTAAACATACAGTATCTCGGTAGCAGAGGTCCAACCAGGTCACTAGGCCTGTCTGCCTGCCTGCCTGTGACAGGCACAGGCCACGTTTTTTAGGCCTGGCCTGTCTGTATTCTTTATATATATAATCTTCTTTTCGATATAATTTTTTTAACAAATTCAAGTTGGTGCTAGTAATCAGTGGAACTATGGAATAATGTTCTGTCTTTATTCTGATTGATCGAAATGATGACTAATGATCAGCTCAAATCGCGTAGTTCATTTTTTTTATCTATTCACTCTTTATGTTCTCATTTATCTGTAGTCTTTTTATTATTGATTGCTGTTAAAATCTTTCTTATCAACTATTCTTCAGACATTATTTTCGATATCAGTAACCCCGGCCGTGGTCGAGAGATCATTTTCCGTTGCCGGGTTAGCTGTAACCGAACGTCAATCTTCTCTCGGTCCTCAAACTTTAAGGGGCTTCCTTCCCCCTCAGAAAATCGATTTTGAGATAAGCACATATTCTGAAAGCCGAAAGTGCCCTCTTTCAGATTCTGTACGATTTGTTGTACTTTGAATGGTCTTTGAGGGTAAAAATGGCGATTTTCTAGAAGCAGTAGTATAGAAATATAAGAGTTTTTCAGCAATATTCCTTAGTTACGGGGATGTGACTGTGGTCAACAAGTTTGTAAACAGTCGATAATGATAAATACATATAATTTCTGTCATTTTAATTAATTAGAGCAATATGGCGAGTTTTTAAAAGGATGCTTTATAAATGACGAGATTGCAGTATAGAGGTCATGACAGCCATAGTCAAATTAAAAATTGTAAACAGATTTTTATTCAATTATGTCACTTAAAAAGAGAATTTTACACTGATTTCAAATATGTATAACACTGATTACTTTTGTCACATTCACATCCGTTTACACATCTCACAAACTTGTTGATTAGTTTTCTCAAAGTCACTTTTTTGGAGAGTTCGGAACAGATTTCTCAGACTGCAGAACAGCTAGCGAGCCACCGTTTTTTTTAAATAAAAGAATTGGCCTATGTCTAGAAATGTATATAGCGTTTTTTTGGAAATTCGATTCTCTTGTCGAGATAACTGGATAACACTGATATCAAAAAGTGTTAAGTTCCGAGTTATTGCAGAAAATTGTCTCGGAAATCTGAACAAAATCGAATTTCGAAAAAAAACGGTATATAAATGTCTAGATACAGATCTCTTCTTTTAATTACAAAAAAAAAGGTAGCTCTCTACCTACTTGACAGTCCGAGAAATCGGTACCTTACGAAGACCACCATTTTGAAGACTAACTTATCCATAACTCTTTAAAACAAAAATTTTACGAATCAAAAATTTGCAAGAAATTAAGTTAACGCAACACACATATTCCCTGAAAACTTCTGCCAAATCGGCCTACGAATAACGAAAAACGATTCCTGAGGAGGGGGGAGTCCCTTAAATGACATTCTTTTTGTGAGATCTATTCAAAACATTCTTGAACAAAAACAGGACTTTTTTTTCTTAATATTACTTTCACTGTTGTTCTTTTTTTGTATGAAAACTTCGATAAATAAAAGATTAATCTAGTCATTTTAAATTAATTATAGTGATTTCCTTCATTCTCAACATTAACTGTTTCTATTCTATCATCGTAATGATATTGACATAAAAGAAAAATAGACAGGCCTTTCCAGGCAGGCCGAAGAAAATGACAGGCACATGCAGGCTTGAAATGCAGAGGCCTGCCACAGGCCGACCAGGCCTACAAAAACGCAGCCTGGTTGAATCTCTGCTCGGTAATAATAAGCTAACAGCATGAATTTTTTTCAGAATATTCATAGATCATTAGAGCCTACATGATGCTCATACACTCGACTCAAAAGCAATGTGACAGTTGGAAATGTTCCCTTGTAAATTTTAACGTGAACATTTGCATGGAGGCAAGTCTTAAGAGTACCTCATCTTTGATGTTTTGTAATGGAAAATAATTTCTTAAATTCAATAATTCTATGACAGTAAGCTATTTAGAGTCAAAGATTTGCCTAGTTGAATGCATCACTTACATTTATCATATCTTATGCCTTTTTTCCGCCTCAGAAAATCTCGATTAAAAAAAAAAAAACCTCTAAGCTAAGATTTTATCATACGAACATAGAGTGAAATTTCTTTTCAAGATAAATAAAAAAAAAAGCTATAAATGTCTAGATAAAATTACATTATAGCGTCGAACATTAATGCTAATATTCCATTTACTGAATGAAACTTTTTTTGTTTGAAGTTTTTTAATTTTTGAAATGCAACCTTTTTTTTCTTCTGTATCAACATTTTAATAGACATTCTTATATTATTTAAGTATAATAGACAAATGATGATTATGTTTTTTTTTTAAAGTGCTTTTGACATTTCACTGAAGTATATAATAAATATGCTATTTTAATAAGCTTCGTTGTTTTTTTGTTTTGAGTTTAAATGACAAATCTTATGTCTAAATTTATTTATTATTTTTCTTAGAAAAATTGAAACTTCTTGCATATATGTTCAAGATATTTTGTTCTAAAAGTCTACAAGGTAGAATTTGAGATTGTCTCGAGCTTTGTATTTCTTGTAGTAATAAATTAATAGACATTCTCATGAACGTCATAAATAAAGCGGAAGTTCGCTATATTTTAATATATCGAATTAAAAATTTTTACCAGAAGTGTTTCTTACTTAGAGCATTCATTTGTAAAAATTTTAGCTTAAATGAACCATTCTAATTGGTAAATTTATTTTAAGGAGAATGAATATTGTCTTAATGAGACTATCGCGTCTCGTCTAAAATAAGACTATTGAAATGCACAATTGAATCAGAGTGATGTAAAAAACATATTTTTATTATTAAAATTTCAAGTCTAAATTCAAAACTTAAGGTTTTCTTGATGTTCCTAAAAAGAATTACAGTATGTCTGATGTTATAAGCTATTAACTTCTTTTGTCGAGTATTCATACCTCATTTGGAATCTACATGATGTCTATAGTTTCAATTTAAAATTGATTTAACACTTATGTTAGACATGTTCGTTTGATCATTCAAAAGGAAGTTTAATGTGTTAATGAGTTTTATAAAAATACTTGAAAATTTTTAATAATAAAATATCGATAATAGAATGAATTTTTGTTGAAAAAATTTAATTTTATTTGATTCTAGTTGAGATTGAATATAGAAATACTATTTAAGAATAAATCGGAAATCATAAATTCTTAGATAAAGTCAAAGTCGAACTAAAATTAAATGACATAATTTTTTTTTCTTTTCTCTATAAATGTTTTGTCATTTTCTGCTTGAAAACTATCCTTTCTTTTGATCGAGCAACTTAAAATCCTCTATAGACCTTCATTTTATACATTTTAATTGTTATTCTTTTCTTTTTGCTTTAAAAGGTCGTAATGCAATCTTCTTTTTGAATTAAGTCTTCTTATTATCATATAACAGAACTCTTTTATAATCATAATGACATTTTTTCTTGAGAAATTTTTCAAGGCATTGAACGTGTCAGTTTATTCCTTCGCTTAAAAAAAATAAGAATTAAAAAGAACAAAAAAAAAGTGCTAACGTGTAAACGTTTTTTTTTAACTAATCACTCATCGAAAACTAGTACATTTTATGTTATCGAATATGATAATAATAAAAAACTTCATATATAAGTTTTCATCTGTCTAGAGTATGAGTATAGCGAATAGTCTCGAATGGAATAGTTTTGTAGTAGCTCGAATAATTTTTTCCTTCAATCATTCATTTTATCACTTTTCGAAGCCATCATTCAATAACTTTTTAGTTCGAAATGACATTCGTTCTAAATGTATAGAATCAAAGTTCAAAGAAAGTTTTGACTTTTATTTATTGAATATCATCCAAAAACATCATTGTATAGAACTAAAAATTTTATCAAAATCTCTTCATTACAATATATCCTAAAAATTTCATGTAGTTCATTTGAATACAATTATTTTAAAATTGATTTTTGAGAACGATTCTTGTGTATTACGTCAGCTAGAGTCCTCTATGAATTATATACACATTCTATTTTATTGTTTGGTTCTTTCTGTTATCCATTCATTAATAAAATTTAATGGACTCTAAGCAAAACATTACAAAAATGTATATTTAAATAAAGAATGTACCATTTTGTATGAAAACAGTTA